AAAGAGTAACAAGTACAGAGCGATTCTCTGTACAAGTAGCAGCCAAGTGTGGAACTAAGGAAGGCCACTGCCCCAAAGGAGGAAAAGGTCGTAAGAAGTGACAGGTCAGAGACCGTCTATCCAGGGACAGTCTGCAGGACCTGCAGGACAGAAGCTGGATCCACATGTCAATGACCACGATGTGCAAGTATACGAATGGGGAAATTTGACTCCAGACAAAATTAAGTAGTATTAAGGCATTACTTATTATTCATTTTATTAGGTGTAATCATAGAATCTTTATTATATGGGAAAATCTATGTTTTTAAAAGAGATACATACTGAAATGTCAGGATGCCTACAATTTAGTTTAAAAGAGTTTAGCCATATCTGTGATAACCTACAAGAGAAAAGAATCTAAAAACAGAATGAATATATGTATAACTGAATATACATATATTCAGTTATATGTATATAAAGAATATATTCAGTTAGATGTATAACTGAATCACTTTGCTGTACACCTGAAACTAACTCAGCGTTGTAAATCTACCACACTCCAATAAAATTAAAATTTAAAATAAAATAGTTTGGCCATAAAATGAAAAGGCAAGTATGGCAAAAGATTAGCAATCATTAAGTCTAATAAATGCACGTGCAAATTTCCTTCTACTGTTCTACTTTTCTGTACTTACCATTTATAGTAAAATATTTGCTGACCCGCTACAGTGTTAGATGACAACAAATCAGGTTGTTTTAAGAACGTGTAATATTATCCCATTTTTGTTAAAAAGCACACATAGATAAAGGTCTGAAAGAAAGTAAATCACAATGCTATCAAGGTCATCTCTAGAACAGAGGGATCACAGGTCATTCCGATCTTTTCTGCTGGTTTATATTTTCCAGTCTTCCTACAGGGCGCATGCGTGATTTTGTGTGAGTTTAGGACAACTTAGAGTGGCTGATCTCTCCCTGTTCGTTGGGCCCCTTTTCTCCTCTTCAAGACAGCTTAGGTTCATTGTTTTTAAAATAAAGCCCATTCATTTTAGGAGGGTCTGTGGCATTGCCAGCCTCCCTGAGCTCAACGGTGCCACGGTGGCGGGACCTAGAAGCATAAGGGTTGGGAACGACGGGATGGACGGCGGCCCCTGTGAGGGCCTGGGGGCTGGCCAAGAGGTCAGGGGTGGGATTGAGGCTGGTGGCGGGGTCACAGCCTGAGCTGCAGCTGAGACTCACAGGCCATTCATGGGTGAAGCAGCCTAAACGGGGAGGTGGTGGGGG